CAGCACTCCTTCGTTATCTAGAAATGGGGAAAGTTGACTTAATTTGTTCGATCTAGATAAATGTGTTTTTGTCTTTATTTTTTGAATCTCCACCTTAAACGTTTCATGTTGCACTAGTCGGACAATGTGCCCTAGTGCCTGCTGAAACTCCTGGGCGGTAACTGGACCTCTCTGTCGAGAGTCCACGCGCGTTTGTGAATTGTGAATAAAGCGTCGTACGTAAGCCATTATAAACAGAAGTTTGTTGTAAGATGAAAACGACGTGAGTAAAGAGTTTGGATTTCTCTCAACGCAGCTGTGGGTTTGTAGAGAAAGCGATTTTTGCTCACACGAGAGATTGGTGCTATCAGGAATGTCAAAGATTTTGCTAGGCCATTGAGATTCTGGTAGTCGTAGCCAAGAAGGCCCCTGCCACCATAAATCATAGGCAGCTAATTGATCTGGATAGAGACCACGCGTCGCGCAGTCTGCAGGGTTATCTCCGGTGGGCACATGTCTCCATTGAGATGCAGAACTGGACTCCAAAATTCGTCCTACACGATTCGCTACGAATGTTTTCCAATGTAAGGGATCCCCCGCAATCCAATAAAGAACGATCGTTGCGTCGCTCCAGAAATAGGTCGAAATGGGATGCGTTGGTTGATCTATTTGCTTGCAGAGCCAGTCACCCAGTTGTGCGGCGAGTACAGCTCCACATAGTTCCACTCTAGGAATTGTCAACGGCTTTGTGGGTGTGACTCGACTCTTTGCAGCTATGAGATGCGTGTATACCGAGTTATTTGTATGTTGGACCCGCACATAGGCACACGCTGCGTATGCCATAGAAGAGCCATCACAAAAGATATGCAGCTGCAAGGATGCGATGGTGCTGGGTAAATACTGTAACCATCGGGGTATTCTCAGTGATTCAATTTTAAGTAAATTGGTGCAGTATTCTTTCCACTTGTGCTGAATTACTGGCGGTACCGTTGCGTCCCAAGCTAATCCTGCTGGAGTGCCATCAGCCTGTTGAATACGTATGCTCCAGACTTCTTTGAGAATAACCTTGGCGATGATTATGACTGGAGCAACGAAACCTAAAGGATCGTACAGACGTGCAACTGTAGCAAGAATTGATCGTTTAGTGAAAATTTCATCAATTGTAAATTTTAATTTGAAACCATAAAAGTCTTCCTTGGGGTGCCAATATAGCCCCAAAGTTTTAATGGACTCTTGGTTTTCGATTTCCAAAATTTTGGAATTGGACATGTGCTCAGGAGGAATAGAGTTCAAAAGACTGGGATGATTTGCTGCCCATTTTCGAAGCTCCATACCAGCTGATTGAAGTGCCCCGATGACATCATCTCGAACTTGAAGGGCTCCCTTAATTGTCTCATGTCCACTTTGCAAATCATCCACATATATTTCTTTTCGTAAAACATGTTCTGCTAATGGAAATTGATCTCGTTCATCCTGAGCGATCTGATGCATGATGCGAATGGCTGTGTACGGGGCTGATGCTGTTCCAAACGTCACAGTTGTTAAACAATAATCCTTTATAGCATTGTTTTCCCTTTGCCAAATAATCCGTTGGAAGTGTGTATCCTCCGGGTGTACATCGATGCAACGATACATTTTCTGAATATCGGCCGCAAAGACATATTGTAAAAATCGCCAATTGAGAATGACCCCACCAAGGTCGTTTTGTAAGGCTGGGCCTATACAGAGAATGTCGTTGAGCGATTTTCCATTTGATGTCTTGCATGAGGCGTCGTACACAACTCGAAGTTTTGTGGTGCTGCTGTCCGCCTTCAGAACTGCATGATGGGGTAATGTGCATGCAGTATAACTGATTGAGCCTCCTTTGTCCGCCAGGCGATGCTGTTCTTCTGAGGTGATGGCTTCAGTTATTTGGTGCAGCTCGAAGTATTCCTCCATGACCTTTGAGTATTGTTCATACAGATCTGGTTTCTTTTGGAATTTTCGCTGTAAAAAATGAAACCGATTTAGGGCAGTTTGTTTTGATTTTCCTATGGTTTGGTTAGGATCAAATAAGGTTTTAAATGGTAGGCGCACCATGTACTTTCCATTTGGTTGGCGTATATGAGTGCGTTTAAAGTGGTCTTCGCACCATTGTTCTTCCGCAGTGTAGAGACGGGTTGTACTTACTGCTTCCAATTCGAAGAATTTTTGAACTAGAGTTTCCAGATTAGAATGATGACATTGTATGGATATCGTGTGTGTCTGTTTTGGCGTAATTCTGCCAAAAATGATCCAACCAAGTTGCGTGCATTGGGCAATTGGTTGATCGTAAGATCCTCTCCTGATTCCACTCATCATAAATTGTGGAATGGTGTCCACGCCGAGGAGCACATCTATGCTATTAGTGTGCATAAAATTTGGGTCGGCGAGCTCCAACCCAGTTAAATGTGGACACGTTGGTAGAGTTAGATTCGTCCTTGGTAAAGGAGAAGTCAGGGTACGCAAAACGAAGGCATTTTCCACCCACATCTTGAATCCTGAATTAGTAGTTGAGCTTAAAGTACATTCGGTGCGATATTTGCACCTGTTGGTGGAATTCCCTCCTACCCCTGATATTTCTGCTGAGACTGGAAATCGGGGAAGCCCTAGCGCTTGGACTACAGTTTCCGTAACAAGGGTACCTTCTGATCCATGATCGATAAGGGCTCGGACCACCGCTGACTGACCTGTGGCATTACTATGAAGACGAACCAGAGCAGTTGCGAGAATCATCGTATGAGGTGTTGAATGTGAGGCTGACGCGCTGATGAGCTGTGTGGTGTTGCTAGATGCTGTCAGACCCTGTGAGTTGAGACTAGTTATGTTTCCTGCAGACTGCGCGACATCACTAGCCTTTACCTGGGTTGGGAAATGTAAGAGAGTGTGATGGCGTTGTCCACATTGTAAACAGTTTTTGCTGCTGTTACATTTTGACAGAGAATGGGTGGGGCTGAGGCAATTGAGACATACCTTACTGCGGTCAACAATAAGTTTGCGAGCGAAAGAATCCTTTGCTAAAAAGTCTGGACAACGACGTAAGATGTGTTGGTCATTGCAATGAGCGCAGCGAACAGAGTTGGTAGTAACCCCTGAAGTATGGCAGCTACTGATCCTGGTTTGTGCGTTGCCTGAATGTTTGATGACGTTTCGTTGGAAGCCGTTGACTCCTTGTGGTTGCCGTGGTGGAGGTGGAACCTTGCGACCTTCAATTATATCGATGCTAAAAAGTCGGTTGTTGAGAAATGATTCCAAAGTGAAAAAGGTTGGGATTTCCTTTGTACTCCCAAGACTGTGTTCCCAGGCTTGGATAGTTTGCGATGGCAGCTTAGTGGTGAGATGATGCACAATCCAATGATCGCAATTGGCAATTGCAATGTTGAGGCGTTTGAACTCATTGATGCAAACGTTGGCAACGTTTAACATATGTTTTAGTTCGGCTGAACTTTCTTTGGAAATTGATGGCAACTCATATAGGGTATTCATATGATGCATGAATAACAATCGGGGATTATTATAACGCGTAACAATGAGACTCCAGGCGACGAGATAATTCGCTTCAGTCAAGTCCATTTGATGCACGTCTTGATCTCGGTCCGCTGGGAGTGCTTGCTTCAGAAAGTGGAATTTTTGTATGCTGGAAAGTGCACCATTATCGTGAATAAGTTGTTGAAAGACATCATGAAAGGCTGGCCATTCAGTCAGCTTGCCAGAATAACTAGGTACTGGTAATTTTGGTAGTTGAACTGTAGAGCCAGGCGCTTGTAGCATGGTGGTGTTGTGCATCGTTGAATTAGAATGGCTAGGAGTAGCGTCGCTGGGAACTGTTGGAAACCGGGTCTCGAAGGCGTCTCCAATCTCGCAATAATATGTTAAGTAAGACTCTTCAAACCTTGCTGCTAGTTGAGAGGTAAAATATTCATGTTCAGGTGAGCAACCGTTCAATAAAAGAGTTTGATGATTGGTGTCGAATTCCTTTGAGAAATTTTCAAGTTTATTTATACGAGTTTGAAAATAGATTTTAGTTTTTCTTGACTGACTATCCTTTTTAAAATTTTGATAAAGTTGTTTAACACGTTCAAAAATATCAGCTTGAAGTATATGTAGGTTTGATAGGCTGGCATCGCTGGATGCCTGCCCCTGCTCCTGGTCTTTATCTGCTGCCATGTTTCAGCTTTGATTGTATTACTCTTATACACTGAAAAATGTACTCAATACTTTGTCAACTCACCAACACACCACAACGACACTTACCCCTTTCAAGTTGTGACGTAACGAAATTGAACGAAAAGTCTGGAAGTCCAAGTGAAGTCGCTCCAGGTTTGACGAAAAGGTGTGGGGGATGCGACGTGATAGATTTCGGCAGCGAAACAGCTTCTCTCCAGCATCTAAATTAACCCACGTTGACTTCGGCAAAGCGATGGATCGGCAGGGCAGCGCAGTTGGAGGGTAAAGCGTATGGGACGATAGTGTAACAGCACTTATACATGTGCTGCCGTTTGCTGGTTATATGTAGTTGCGAATGGAAAATTTATAACCATGTGCCAGATTTCACAAAGTTTAGATCCAAACTGATTAATTAATTCGAAAACAGATTAGTAGATAATTATTCCAGAAGGCGTGATTGGATGGGTCCCCTCATGGGCCACCAAAATGTTGTGACAATTTATATTGTCAAAGATGAGCAAAGATGCTCTGGGGTTTTTCCACCAATTTGAAAATTATAACTCTAAAAGGTGCACTTCATGGATGGTCTATTTATTATCTACAATTACTTCGAATTCAGTTTTTTCACTTTACAATCTTCAATGCTGACAATGGTATCAATTTTAATTTATTATATTAGATTATTAAACGCGACCAGCGGCTGGGATGACTGCTTCTGTTCGATGCCCATAAAAGAATCGTCGATCGTTCTCTCTCTTGTGACTCCCTTTACATAAAACTCGGTTATAACAGAGTGGTGGGTTTATGTTCTCTCAACTACAGCAAACGTCCGAACATAACGAGTGTTTAACATAATAGTTTAGTTATTCCTCCTTGCTGTAAAACAAACTTTTAGGATGAGATGATTTTTCTGATTACACAGCTGTTACTTACGGCTCTTCGGTTACATTACGCAGCATTTGGTGGCGAATCACTAGAAACGGAGCTCCAAAGCCCACGACTCCCGCAATTAGATAACACAGTGTGAAGCGCATCGGGCTATTCAAGCCAAAGGGTAAGTTCTGTTAAATATTATACAAGTTCTAAGACTGCTAGACCACGGGGAAACTTGGTAACATTACCGCTCCGGGACAACCTCCTGCATCTCCGTGTCCGTTGCGCTTAAGCGGGCCGCAAAACTTGCTTATGGGTTTACGAAGTGTGGACCACATTAAACAATTTTTAACTGCCTTTGGGGACTGAAATAGTAAGTTATTTGATAGCTTTTGAATGAGAAGTGACGCCTTGAATTCTAACAACTGACTGACAGTTCTGTGTTTAAAACTATCGCCTACTATTTGACAATTGTATGTTTACACAGAAAGAAGAGAAAAGTTTTTGAATGTTTGAAAATGTATCAGTAAGTATAAAAGAATTTTAAGTATTGCTAAAGTATTAGCTATATTTCCCTAAACCACAATGGGAAATAGATTTTAAACCAAAATCAATGACTTCTTTATGAATTGTTTATAATTTTGGTACTATTTCGACCTCATTTGTGGTCTAATCACGTCTAGTTTGGTTGATCCCTAAAATATACGATCTTAAATAAAAACATCCACGACTCGATTCTACGGTTACGGGTAACTTTATTTCGTTTCCACTTTTCACTTAAATCTAAGCTGTAACACACTGAAATGGCCTCCCGGCTGCTTTACCAGATGACGCTACATCTGAAAAGTGGATAATTTCCTTAAAAATGGCATACATGTAAGAAATCTGACAAACTAACCTTACATTTGTTGTTGCTGTCGCCAAGGGAGCACCTTACTTCTTGAGCAGCTGGTGCCTGACGATCAGGAAGGGCGATCCGAAGCCCAAAACACAGCCGATGGTGAACAGGGCGGTGATCCTGTACTTGTTCGTCAGTCCGAAGGGCAGATTCTGCAAAAAGATTGGGTTTCCCGGTGTTAAAATTGATTTTTCACTCTTTCCTATTTGGTCACGGAAATTATGTAACCCACGGAAAGCGCTTGTTTTCCAGTACTCACCTCGCCGGGAACTCCGCCGTGTCCGCTGAAGCGAACCATCGACTGGGAGAAGTTGCGTGCAATCACACTGCTGCGGCCCAACATTTTGCAAATTGGTTTATTTCAATAATAATTACACAAAAATAGCGTTCGCAGTTGGTGCGCGGATTAGAGATGACGGCTGGTCGATAGCTCCCCTGCTCATAACATCACGTTAACAGCGAAGAGGCTGCTGCTAGCAGTAACTATCGGTATAAAAATACTTTATAGCCTGTTCATAAGGGGGATTCCCTAAACTGTTGAATTGCTGAATTGATTAATTTTGGTCAGCTGTTAATCAGCTGTTCCATACAAAGTCAACTTTCAGAAATTTCAGCAATTCATCAGCCTCGGGGCTGCTGAAAATTTTGTTGAATTGCTGAAAAGCCAGAGTTGTCACCTTTTTTTAAAAGTCGTGGCAACTCTGTATCATTTTAGTATCACCAGTACGCATTATTTGTTTTAAAATCAACTTAGAAAGCATATTTGTGGTTCTTTTTACCTTGGTAACACCTTTAGACAGTAACTAGCAATAATAAATCAAATTTTACATGCTTTGAGTTCCGTGAAACTTTTCAACAAATAACAGCTGTTTGAAAATTCAACAGGAACCATTTTGGGTCGTTCCCTTAATTTTTTGTTGAATTTTCAACAATTCAGCAATTCAACAGTTTAGGGAATCCCCCTATAGTTTGAACTTCATACAGATGGTGCTTCTGCAACTGCTACCAAATTCCACAACAGCGACTTTTCCTCCCATGAGACGTTTGTACGTTTGAACCCTCCCCCCACACGTAATCATTTCTTCATACAAACGAATTTTTTTTGCGCTAGAGTAATCATTTGGTTGACCGATTTTACAGTTTTTTTTAATTTTCAAAAATTATGTTGTTTTAGAGAGTAATAAAAGTGACCAGCCAGCATGGGTAAAATCGTTGCTTTGTGTGTCCCAGCGACTTAAACGGAGGTGGAGAGGATGTTCCAAGGGCAGGCCAAATTATTTCACAGCGCAGGACAACACCCCAAATTGTTAAATTATAAATTTTTTAAATGAACCTTGATTTTTAGTCTTGCGGATGGATCGGTACTAAGAAAGCAATTCATATAAGTTTTTGACATTCTTTTTATTTTTATTATAAAACTAAAAGTTAATATGAGATTCAATTTTTTTTTTTAATCATATTTGTTAATAATACCCTTATTGATCTAGCTGTTTTCATAAATGAATAACCTATATATATTAGATACTATCGCGATGGTCATCGATGGTTTCGGAATATACCTCGAAAACATCGATAGGGTCACTATCGATGGCTTGCCAGCTCTACTGGCTCTACTCGAACATCCGTGTGTTGGGTTGTATTTTGCGTTTTAAATCACAAAAACACAAATAAATACAGTGTTTATTTATTGCATGCAGGCGTTATGATTTGAAAACACAGAGTGCGTGATAGTTAAAAAACTTGCTAATTTCGAATTGAGTCAACGCCACAAAGGCCAGCAACAATAACCACACACCGAGAGAAAAGAGAGGAGACAACGCAGCAGCAGCAAAAGAATTTTTCGATCTGAACGCAACGAGTGAATGTGCGAGCGAGACAACCTGAGATTTGTATAAAAGATAAAAAAAGATGAAGAAGATGCCGAGATAATTGTAAACCCTGTGTGTTTGTGTGTGTGCTTGCGAGTGCTGAAAATTTTTGTTTAAACAATCTTGGCCGTGCCATTAATTCAAGGTGCATATAAATGCGGATGTGGCCATTTAAACGACAACCGGTATTTCGTCTGCCCCTCTCCTCACATCCTTTTTTGTTCTTTAGCTGCGCGAGTTGCTTTTTGCCGCCACTTGCGCTGCATCTCCCCTCCCCCTCGCACTCGCTAGCAAGCTTATTTATAAACCGAGAAAAAGAAGCACCGTTCAATTGTGGGCCATTTCAGTGTGAGAGCGCCATTGTCTCTGGAATATGCATAATATTTAGCAACAACAAAAGAGGGGGAATGTGGGGGAAACACGCAAGAAGAAGAGCAAACCCCATCTTTTTGTTCCGCTCGCAACTATTGTAAATGAGACGCTCTGTCCCTCTCTCTCTATCTATCTTTCTCTCACCTTTCGGCGCTGCCACTTGTTGGTGTGTTTGTTGTTTGCTCGCTTGGCTGTGTGTGTTGCCCTGCCCAAAAACAACTGAGTTCTATTCATGTTTTTGCTTTTCTGGCCGCAGGAAATCAAATGAGAGCGCACTCGATAAAAGAGATAAAGAAAATACTGTTCGGCGTCAGGTGTTAAAGTGCTAAACAATTCCGAAACGCAAAGAAAAGTAAACAAAAAACGCGACGCGTGTGCTTGTGTGCGGCGCCAATAAAAATAAAAAACAAAAAAACTGCCCCCAAAATAAAAAAAAACCCAAGAACAACAACAATATTAATAACAACCAACTTTTAAAAAACGACAAGAAGCTAGGGCATCGAGTGATTCAACGCGGCGCACCAAATAAACCATGTCGGATTCGTATTATCAGGTGAGTGTGCTGGTGTGTGTGGGAGTGTGCGTCTGCCGGTCAAATCGGTTGCTTAATATTTTCCCTATCAGCCAGCTTTCTACCCCGCCCGCTTTGTTACTCGCTCTCTCTCTCTCCCTCTCTTGGATTTAATATCGGATCGTGGAAATTCCAACGGGAAATACAGTCTAACTTCTATAAAGCGAACTTTTCTAATCCTAGGTGATTAGTATAGTATAGTACAATTAGGTTTTCGAAGCAAGTATTAGATCGGTGAGAAACCAACTAGCTTTACAAAAATATTCATTTATTTTTTATTTAATGAAGTACCACATCGATAATTATAAATTTTTCTTTTGTTTAATTTTTGTAAGTAAAAATCAACATTTTTCCTTGTTGTATTATAAAAAACTAACTAAATTTTTAACTACGCACATATTCGTATGCCCGAAAAATTGGTGATTCACGATCTAAAAATTAGCAAAAAATGGATTTTTGAAAATGTGATGGTCATTATGTACATTCCCACTAATCGAATTTGACCGTGGCTCATCGAAACAAAACGTCAAGTCCGCTCTGAGCCAATTCTGGTATGATTATAAGTGCTCTCCTTGCTGACGCACCTGTTGCGCACCTGTTGCGCACCGGTAGTTTCATTTCCAGCTGACGGAAACCACTTGTGGGTCATCCCTGGAGCTCTTTAGTAGCCCCCCATCGGCCAGGAATAATAACCGGGCCAATGAAAACGGCAACAAATGGCTGCAAATGACATCACTTTCGTTAGTTGGCGTGCACAAATCGCGCTCCACATTCAAATTCACATTCAGCTCGGCAAGTGGCAATTGCCTTAAGTGCGTGACCCGCAGCCTAAAAATAGACACCCAGCGGTCAATATTTTAATGGACCTTTTTATACCTATCGGGTAATTTGAGCGCAGTCCAAAATATGTTAATTTCTTGACCATCGGATGTAAATGGAAATTTTATAGGCTTAAATCTTGAATCTTAAACTTTTTTTTGTATAATTTTTTTTATTTTACGTTTTTAGGTCTCTAGCGAGACTTTGCTGTTTCTTTCCGTGTAGTACAATTACTGGCGAGGCTACAATTAGTTGGGTGCCTTGCAATCAGTTGATTACAGGGTATTTAACTGTGCAGTTTATAAATAGAACAGTCTTTCAAGTTGTTTTGGTCGATGCTACACCGTCTTATCTCAGTACCGCCTTATCGGCCTTTATAAGTTCTATATGCATCTTTTGTGGTGAAATTTTTTTTATCGCGAACAGCATCCATCACGTAGTGAATGACTCAGAAAAATCATTCAGCACTGACCCATTAAGTTAAATTCCTGAAGCCATTCACCAAACCTCGGAGCTATTTTTTGAATAGTAAATCTTTGCGGACAGGGATTTTGAAAGTGCAAAACCCCTCGAAAAAGTATAGGCCCAATGGAAGTCACACTCGGTGATTAGCCAGAAAACCAGATTCCTGAAGGAGGAGCAACGGCAGCTCCTACTTACATACTTTTGCCATTTACGATGGTGCACCTGAGTTTAAGACGAGACGCAATCTGCCCGCAGGTTCGCTTCTTTCAGACAGAAAGCCGAAAACCGGTTTCGGTTTCGATTTGAGCCATCTTGGCGTTGTTCTAAAGCTGGTCGGCAGAACAGGGTCAGCCAGTTGGCATGGAAAATGGCAAAAACCTAGAAAATCCTGGTCTGTTTTTTTCAACGAGTTTGCAAAGGTA